TACGCTGGTGAATATTTTTTTAACAACTATTTGTTTTCAACTACCAAATAATATGGTACCGATCTACACATCCGAATCAATACAGTTCTAACACCAAATTGATTCGATCGGCAAATGAATATGTGTATTACTTCCAATCCAACCTCTAGTTGACTTGCGAGAAAATGCATCAATTCACCGTTTTCCTTTGTAGGATTTCTTCTCACCATCACTTGTAATTGGGATCATCTTTTGTGAATCCTATTTCTAACCATTGAAGCAACAAAGTGGTAAAATCATCATATTTCTTTTCATTTTCAGGACTGTCTCGCCATGGGTGATTTTCAAAACTGTACCTAAAGCGAAAAAACTTGTATCTCTCAAAGTCTTCTGATGTATGAAAATTAGATCTTTTTATTTTTTTTAGAACACATGCCACACCACCTAACGAATATATTCCGAATTTAATAACCATTCGGAATGAAGTATCAACTTATGGAGTTGTGAGAATATCTTCATCGGTTGATGTTCAAATCACCTATCTAGATTCACCACCAAGTATCTCTATACTTTTTGATTTTCCACCATTCACTTTCAATGTTTCTTGTCAAACTCTTGAAACGAGAATACCATCCATTAAATTGTTTAATTGGTAACCGTCACCAATCCACTTGATCTTAATAGTCAACTAAAATCGAATCATGAACCTCGTTCTGATGCCAGTTTACTGAGATTTAAGTGCTTGTGAGTAATCCAATCTCGCAACCAAGTTTTGATACCACTGTTAGGGGAGAAACACCTCGAGAGAACCCATCAAAGGGGTCAATATAAGTCAGGAACCCAATTTTGATTCAAAAGTTTAAATAATTAGGTTTCGGACCTTTATATACCTATTAACTGCTATTTCTACGTCTTTTGAACCAATGTAGGATATAGTTTTTTACTCATGAACCTAACATTCAATTCTTGTTCTTGTTGTGTTTGATTTTGCTATTACAATTTTTATGCAGTCACAATTAATGTTTAGATGTAAGCTCTTTTTTTTCGCATGGAGAAATATTTTTCTACTCCAAGTAGGGATCTTATGTAATATTTTTCTTTTTCTATTTAACCTTTTGAAGTGATAGGCTACTGTATATTCTGGAAGTTAATAATTTATAGAGAAGGAAGATATTTAATGAGATATACAATAAAATGTAAATAAACTTTTGAAAGTATTCCATTGGCTAAAATCTTTGTTTTCCTTCTATCTTCTCATTTATGTTAACTTTTTTTTGGTTCAATCATTTATGAGTCTATACTTGTATAGGTGGAGTACTCACAGGCGTAGTCAAGTATTTTAACCATTTTTAGATGCTTACATGATTGGCTAGAAGTACGTTTAAAAGCTCTAACAATTAACTGTGGGAAATGTTATTGAATTAACTTTTTATGTACTAATAATGTTGTGATTTTTTTACATTAATAGTTATAGATGTATGTCACATATGTATGATTTGAAATTCAAATTTAAATTTATATTATGTGGCATGATTTAAACCTATTAGCGTAACAAAAGTTTGTTCATTGACAACGTATAGAAAAGTTACTCAATGTTATTTGGCTTCATATAGTTACAAAAGTCACTGACAACGTATATAAAAGTTACTCCCAATTTTGTGATTTATACTCCCACTACCATTTTAATCATATAGTTTTTATTTATCAAACTATATGATAAAACAAATTATGAAAGTGCAAATAACAAAAAAATGGAGTGCAAATAACACTTTCTTTAATTATAACAGAAAAGTACAAACACAATTAATTATAATGGACAAGTGCAAGCTTTTTTAAAAGCTGTAAATGAAATTTTGTGGTGATATTTGCAATTAATGCATGAAAAATTCACACTTTTTGACTTTTTTTCCATCACTAATAAAAAGGTACTCAATTTTTTCTAATATAAATCCAATACTTGAACAAACAATAAAAACATATCATAATGTTTATATAATGAAAATTAAGAGGTTATCATTTCAAAATCTTTTAAGAGAAAAGTAGGCTAAATCCAAAGTTGCAATGTGCCTCATAATGGCACCAAAAGGCAAAAACTTGTTCGTTGCGCGGGCTTCGTTGTGTAGTTTTACCGTTATTTTTTATCTGCAAGTCAATTGTATGTTCTTTTTTTTAAAAAAATAAAAGCAAAGCAACTAATTGTTTATGGTTGCTTTATCTGTCAAGAAACCCATTGCGTTAAGCAAAGGGTTTGGCAAGGTCTACATTGTATATGGAAGTAGAAAGAAGGCCATCGTCACATTGACGCAAAGGGTGATTGCATCAAAGTTCTCTTATCAGTTGTCTCAAGTATCGGATTATTGTGCCCCTCATGGCAACTTGATTGGTCTCAGTAAGTCTCCTTAGAAGCTGATATCCAGTGCTCGCAAGAATTCGAGTCATGTGATTATCGTGTTTGGGGAATGGGCCTCTCCTTTCGGGTCGGAGTGGGATTAGTCGGATCCCATAAGAATTGATTCGGACACCTACTCCGTCTAGAAAAAAAGAAAAAAAGTATCGGATTATTGTACGATGATTTGACAATGATTTGTTTGCATAATTAGCACACCACTCCTGAAAATTGATTAAATGCACCAGGTCTTCTTCTTCTAGGTGCACGTCAGGAGTCACGGCCTCGATGATGGACTAAAAGGAACAATACTGCATTAACTCCTGATTGCTGCTTTGGTATTTGCGTATTTGGGGTGAGTAGACTCCACCACCTGCTGAACATTATTAGCATTCAGCCGTAGTTTCAACTTTTCTACTAGCCTTTTGGGTGGAGGGCGGAGAGCGAGGTCTGGACGCGGACCAATACACCATGGCCCTCTATTCGTTGTTCACCAGCCGCGCCAGCCCCGACGAGTCCTACGTCGACAGCAACGGGGCTTGCTTTCGCCCTTAGTGTGTGTGGTGGTCATCGTTCTCACTGCGGTAGTGATGGTGGTACTATTTCTACTGGGGACGACGAAGCTGCTGAGGTACAGTTCCTTGATCCAGAAACCCATAGTCTTAGTGCGGGAAGAGATGGTGGGTCGCAAGAATCACACAGCTGTACTAAAGACGTTGCCAGATTTCGAAACCCACAAAGTGAGAGCAGGAGCGGCGGAGAGTAATTGGAAACCGGTCACACCCCCCACCGCTAGTCTTCCGCATCTAGCTCCTTTACCATCAGCATCCCACCAATTACCGTTACAGTTACAGATGATGAGAAACAGCAGCAGCAACAATATCGTCATGGGTCCTTATCACAACTGGGAACTTTTCTCCGCTGACTATCAGGAAATGCTGCTTAATCTCAAGATTTTCGTGTACCCGGATGTCCACTCATCATCATCAAAAGCAAACAGAAACTCCTCCTCCCAGGCCCCTAATTATGACAGCGTTTTCCTTCCCCTAGCAAACCCCACTAACCCCAAGCTTGGGAATTATTACAGTGAGCACGCGTTTAAGGTGGCTCTTCTTCACAGTTCCCTGGTCACCGACCGTCCGGAGGAGGCCAATTTCTTCTTTATGCCTTTCTCCATAAATGCCATGCGTAATCACCCTCTCCTGCATTCCGCCTCATCCATTTCAGATTTCATTGCCCAATACACGACCAGAATTAGCTCCGACTTCACATTTTGGAACGCCTCGACGGTGCTGATCACTTCTATGTCTGCTGTCATTCCATTGGTCGGGATGCCGCTTCCAAGCACCTTGCTTTACATAACAACGCTATTCAAGTCACTTGTTCCTCCAGCTACTTTCAGAGGCTCTACATTACGCACAAAGACATCGGATTGCCCCAAGTTTGGCCTCGCCGACGTGACGACGACCACCGACCGTTCAATCCTCCAGCCGCTAGGTACGCGTGTTCTACCTGCATTCTTGACTGTGCATGTTGGTTGTTGAAAAACACAGTTGAAGTGGGACATCTTTTGCATAAAAACACCGTCCTTTCCCTTTTGCAACCTCGGAAGAAATTGATGTGGAGACACACAGAAATAGATCTTTTACCGTGGGACTCCATAGCATTTGGAGAAAGGGGAACGTCTTGGATAATCATAGGTCAATGAGACCAGGTTGCCACGAAAAAATTTTCATACATCTTCCTGAGAAATGAAAGATTTAGTAGCCATGGAAAGGTAGCTGCGGGTGCGCGTTAGAACACGAACGCCAATCAATTTTTAACCTTTTTTAGGGTCCTTAATCAATTAGGTAGGTTCCCTAGTGATGATGCCAATAAGAATATGATTTGGACATGGAAGACCTGATTTCTTCTTTGTTGGTCTGATTATTATGCATTTTCTTACCGCAGAAATGTGCTCGTCTTTTTCGCCGGGCGAGCGCAGAATTCACTTGTCCGTCAGAAGTTACTGGATCTATGGAGCAACGATACATCTTTTGCGATATCCTCTGGAGGTCTATCCCTTCCTTACCAGGAAGGGTTCAAAAGAAGCAAATACTGCCTCCATGTTAAAGGCTACGAGGTGAACACTGCTAGAGTCAGTGACGCGATACATTATGGATGCATTCCAGTTATAATCTCCAACTACTACGACCTTCCATTTGCTAGCGTCTTAGACTGGAGCAAGTTCTCAATTATCGTGAGTGAAAAAGATATTCATGTTTTGAAGGAAATATTGTTGTCAGTATCCAAGGAAACGTACTTAAAGTTGTACAAAAATCTAAGCATGGTTAGGAGACATTTCGCCTGGCACAGCACTCCCAGAAGTTATGATGCCTTCTACATGACAGCTTACCAACTGTGGTTAAAGAGAGGTTTACAAAGAATAGCTTAGCGTAAGAGGTGATGAAAATACACCTGTCCATCATGGAAGAAATAAACATACCAATTTGCATTATCAAATGCCAAATATTTTTTCTGCAGCTCAAAGTCTCTGTCACACGTATCCTGGCTTCGCCATTACTTTCACACGGGAATAGGCTTGAATGAATCTCAATTTCAAATACCTTGGCTTGATTTTTTTCTTTGGAAGAAGTATTAAAACAGATGAGAATCCATTGATTTATTTTTGCACGACAATGTATTGTAGGACGATTAGTTTCATCAACACACATATAAACAACGCACGTGTCGTCCAAGAAACTCTTTTACATCTTAATTCTACCAATATGTTCCGAAGATTGTTGCATTACCATAACAAAATAAGAAGGTTGGCACAAGTTTGAACCTTGAGGAACAACATTTCACATCAAATGGCATGATTAGCAGGCTGTGAATGGTAGCCTCGGCGCCTGAGCTGTGACTGAGGATTTGGTTGCTGCAAGAATATCCTTGTAGGATCATTTGGGTCAACATACCTGCACGCAGCACAATGTTAAAAGAAAAAAAAGGGCTCGTTCCTCAAATAAGCAAGAAACTAGAAAATACTTACGCATGTCGCATCATTTCATCAACAGGCGTCTGTGATGCTTGCAAGGGATCCAACTGAGGACCTGCTCTTGATGTCTCTTGATTATATTGTCTCACAGAATGAATTAGGTTAAAGAATAAGGGCACAAAAGTTCCGCAACCACCTTCCTTGAATAAAATCTTGAATGAATGAGTAGAGAATAGAGCCCTTTGCTCGTTTTCAGGTACAACCTGGAAGTGCAGAAATGGGTCACTGCCTACTAGAAGACCACATACCAATGATTCAATATCTGATGCACTTACAGGGTCGACAGATCCAGATATATTGTTGCAGAAGAATATTGGTTGGTTAAATTTTTCACCGCAAATGTAAAGCTGCAGAAGCAAGTCATTTCCAGGTCACTAAGATTTAATTTAAATTATGCACATCATATAAATTCTAGAACAATATATTTGTAGCAAACTCAGATTACCAGAAAACTGCCAGCTAAAGGAAGAAGAAGATGAAAGGAATGACAATACTATACCCAAATCTTGTTCTAAGAAAAATGCGTAGTTTAATGTCTACCTCTAAAGAAGCAATGTATGTTCAGTAAAAGCAGTGGAGTGTTGCCGAAGACAGCATTGGAAACAAATACATGTGTGCGTGAAATGCGTAAAAAAGGATTCATTTGCATTCGGAATTTCACAGCATAAGGCACTTCTTAAAAAATTGTAATTTGACATGTAGGGTTGGTTGATGCATGGTTGATGTTACATAACTCTCAAAATTTTTGACTTCAGTTAGATAAGATGCAATACCTAAAACTGATGATTTTTACTGCGATAACGTGCAAGAAAGTAAATTGCCCTTGAACTAAGGGTTCCACATGGCCCCCTTGAAGTGCAGTCATCATGTCAATTTACCCCAAAAGTATCTAGCAAAATTTCTGGCCAAATGTTAGTTGGGGACTCAAATTTTGGTGCATTGCAGGCTTATCTAAAATTGATAGGACTGCATCACCATTTATTTCTCTGTTACTATTTCAGTACCGTGAAGGTTCTCCGCTAAAATCCTTCTTCCAAGTAGGAATCCAGTTCTTGGCCACCCTCCACTGGCTCTGTTACCTCTCCGACCTTCCAAAACTCTGCTGGTGCCAAGTCAATACTCACCCAAACCCCACTGCACATAACCCACTCGAACGGCAAAAGCCTTCCCTTCTGCTCACCCCACAAAAGAAGAAAAAAAGAAAGAACCAAAAAAAGATCACCCAGGGAACCACCAAACCCTACCTAGTCTGCCATCATGGCATTCTCTAACTGCACTATTCCCACTTCAATGCTTGTAGCACACCAGCTGTCCATTCCTCTTCATCTGGAACCACGCGGCCGTACCCTGACCACCAAATCACTTCCTCACCTCACTGCAAATATCATGCTTAGCCCCAAATCACACATGTTCTATTCCCCTCTAGTGCGACAGCCGACATATCCATTGCCAGCAATCTGATCCCTGTCTGCTTTGAGTGAAGTTTGAAGTTTATTTGTAGATCCATTTTTGTAAATTCAGGTAAATGATTTATTTTGTTGTGGAGACTGGTCCTGATTTAACACATTTTCTTGTGTAAGTTCAGTGATAGAATAAAGTAGAACTATCAGCAGCTCCATTAATGGAGTTAAAAATCGAGAACTACATTTAAGTCATCCGACACAAATCAAAACCTGAAGGTGTAAATTGACACCATTAGTTCAAGGAGGCTTATTAACAGAATGAGGCAGCCTTGAACTGGATCCTTAGTTCAAGGAGGTTTATTGTATTGTAACATATAGTCTAACGACTTGCGGTAGGATATACAAACTTGTTGATCTAATCTCCGATACGACATGGCGTGATGACAACATCCATATCTGTCCACAAGAATTATTCACAATGGATCATTTCAAGAGACTCAGCCACTCGTTTCCAGTTAATACTAGACCCACAAATAGTTTGCAAATTCTTATAATCTGATAACCCTTATTGTGTGCATAAAGGACAGTTAGAAAAAGCCTTTTTTTGCTTTGGAACCCAGTGCACCTGTGCCACAAGGAACATACACAAACAAATGCACCATGTAGAAACATAGACTACCCACATTTGGAAAGCAGCCAGTAGACTATCCAGTCTCTTTAACCTATGCATCATCTTCAAAGAAAATTCACCTTATCTTCCAGCAATGATTCGGTCAGAAAGAAACTAGCCTAGAGCACCATAAAGAGCATTTTCTATATTTCACCATTTTTCCAGGAACCGGGCTGGAATTTAGAGTTTTTATTCAACTATTATAACCATAGTTTTCTGGTAAACCAAGTAGGGCTTGGTCCCATGCATTTGACACAAAATAATTATTACATCAGGAAAATGTGAAGTCACATCTGGCTTTAGACCGGACAAGTTAAATGCACAAGCCCCTTGCGGTAGGTATAGTTACTTTATTGACTACAAAACGCTCGAGACTATAAGATAATGAAGAACAACGCGTGGAACAAAACGTGCAAAGCCAACTTACCAGGGGCAGATCAAAAGCAGCAAAGTCTCCAACAGGTTTATTTGCAACAAAAACCATACGTATATTGGACAAGTAAATTATGCCCTTTGCTTTGACATGTCCTCCTTGAGCTCTGAGAGACAAAAAGAGTTAATTTTCTACCAAAAAAAATCACCATTAATGTAAAAGAAAAATCAGGAATGAAATTGGTGTACAAGCATAGAATCTTCCTTAACTGTAGGATTACCGTCAAACAAATACTATATATTAGCAATGCATTGATTTAAAACCAGTTGCAGGAAAGGATCATAAGTGCTCTGTGGCTATGGTCAAATGATAGGAATGAAGCCTTTAGAGTGAAGAATACACTGATTCGGCAGAAAGTAAGGTCCCAGATTTTAAATTATTCTGCGGATGTGTTGGCCCATCTTGTAATTAGCCGTGTTTACATCTGAAGGAATACCACTTTGTGATATTTGTTGTTATAGTTTTCAAAACTTAAGAAAAGACTATCATTGTTGACAGTATCGGCTTGAATATGTGTACATCAAACTATCAGGATAATCCTTTATACACAGAAATATAAAACGCACCCGCTTTAATAATTCTGAATAGCGTTTCTCAGGCTAAAGTGTGTCATCCTGTTTTTAAAACAATGTGTGCTTAACATGCCAAGGATATACATCTGCAATCCATAGTTACAATTACCTAATATGCATAAGATGTGGAGGTACATACGAGGATAAAAACTTCAAAGGCCCTCCCTAGTTTGATATGTCTCTATTTAAACAACCCATGCCCACAAACAAAAAGACACCCATTGAAGAACGAAAACCTGTCTGCGTTCTGAAATCGGGTATAAATACAAGAATTATCTGCGCAGGATAAATACATCACCTGTCTTTCCATGATTACTACTAAACCGAACAGGAAAAGATGCCGAGAAGGGAAAAACAATTCGGTATTTTCAATGTAAGAGCCGAAACAAATTGGATAATAGGGCGTGTCTTACCACAGAGGAACCAATTCGAATTGGTCCCATAACTTTAATAAGGAAAATCTGAGGAGGAACGGTAATTGCTTACCCGGGGATCTTGTCAACCTCGAAATCCACGCCATCTCTGGCTAATACGAACATCTCGTTCACAAACGGCACGGGCATCCCGTTAGGAAACACCTGAGGATTCAGAGCCATCTTCGAATAATGAACAACGATCTCAGCGCAGCTTATTATTATTATTATTTTTTGTAGCGTATGAATCAGAAGATTGGCTTGATATAATTTGATTTAAAAAGATCAAACAATGAGATAGCAATAGAAGCTATGACGTCATAATTAGGAATTCCTTTCCGCAATTAAAGGAAAGTTACATCCGTCATTCTATTTCTTTTCTTTAATTCTAAATATTGAATTTATTGTGCTATTTTTGCGTAAACGTTCGACATTCTTCCGGACAAATTTTATAGAAAATCGTAGTTTGCACCCATAGACTTTGGGACAATTACAACATAATGCCCTCAACTTTGGAAAAATGCAAAATTACCCAAACACAATTGATAAATTTAGGCCTTGTTTGGACAACAACTTTTCAAAGAACACATTTTTCAATCAGTTTTTTATCTCACATATATGAAATTGCTATCGCCATTTTTGTACAAAAAATCCAAAAAAATGCAATTTAAACAAGGGTTTAGGGTGGTTATCTTGATAATAATATAAACTCCTTCCTTTGGCTTTATAACTCAATTAGCAATAAGAGTGGGAACTTCTGACATGACACGATTGTATATGGCTCGAAAATTAGTAGGAGTAGAAAAATTTTTAAAAAAAATCAAGAAAATTAAAAATGGAAAAAGAAAGGCTTAGGAAAAAAAATTTTTAATGCCAAAAAAAAAAAGGTATGGTATAAATGATTGATGGTTGAACGTAGAGATGATGACAATGAAAAAGACATTAGTATTCATAGCGTGAAGGAGGGAAGATTGGAGAAGATGACCGTTTGGGAAATGATGAAATCTTTTTAAAATTTCAATTTGGCCCCTTAATTTACTTTTTGTTCACAAATGAATTAAGAAAGTTAGTAAAATAACAGTAAATCCTAAATCAACTATTGGTACA